AAAGCAGCCAAAGAACCTAAGATGAAACTTAAAATGATAAATGAGAATTAGACGAAAGATTGTAATGACACTTTTATGAAACACTTCGGTCTTCATACTGTCTTAAAAATTATTCATGATCCAAAGTTAATTACTAATTTATTTGATATTTCATGGCAGATATATTAACTACTTACTTCACAGCATAATAGCAATCAGATGTATTTTGAAGATGCAATGGATTACAAATGATGATAGTTATTTTTGACATAGTAAAGACCAGCATTATATTGTATTAAAAAATTATAGGCTCCTCAACAGCATCAAATTCCCTGACTTTTAGAAACTTGCAGGAACTTACCTAACTTTACCAGATTTCTCTGAACAATTTTTTTATTCCCTCACTTTCCCTTATTTTAAGTCTTCCTTGCCCATTTCACTCTGCAACATCTAAAATGGATATCACATTTAACTCGAAGAGAAAATCATAAAAATAATCAAGATGTTGACATTCCACACTACTTCAAACAAAAGGTTAGTAAGGAAACCTGCATGAATTCTGGAAAAACTAATAACAGTTACTTGAGAAACCTATGCATTCTCATACAATCACTAAAGTTAAGAAACATTGAGTTTGGTCAGTACCTATATGTATGACAGCTTGGTAATACCAGGTGCTGTTTGGATGTGCAGGTGGTGTAATGAATAATGTTTTGGAATTAGAAATTGGAGAGCTGAGTTCCAATTCAAGTCATACCTTGGGAAATGTATGAATCCTCTTCTTCTCCCCTCAGCTATGGGTTAATTAGTAGGATTTGTATCAGTAAATCATTATTAGTTAAAAAAAAATCTTCTTGAAATAAAAAATATGTTCTGGCTTTAAAAAACCTGAAAAATGTTGATAAGCTATAAAAAAAAAATGTAAATCATTCAATAGAGAAATCAATTTTTCTGAAAAATTGGTTTAAGAGAAAAATTTCATAAATTTCCACCGAATGTAGCATTGGCAACTTGGTCAGTCAAAAGTTTCCTCATAAGGAAATGGCTAAGTTACCATTAGCATTAGAGATGAAGTAAACAGATACTACACTGTGATCCTAATCCAATGTCAGGGAGTGAAGAAAGCAGTAACTTGAGCAGCATTGGTTGCTTGTCACTGAATACCAAATATTTCCTTATAAGGAAATGGTTACTATTACCTTAATGGTAATATTAACCATTTCCTACTTAGCAATGGTTAAGCTTGCATCAAATTTCTTATGAGACAAGAATGTTAATCTGTGTACAATTACAAGTACTTCTTAATGATGGGAAAATGTTGTACAAACATGTATGCCAAATGGGTCTTCTTTTATGTATCATGTCCCTTCAGGATATAGGCAATCATAGCTCTCCACAACTCCCTGTCCTTCATAGATCTTAAAATATTTGTTTTGTTTTTTCTTCTATCCCTCCTAAACCCTGTTCTGCCATCCATTTAAAGCTCATTATGTAGGCTACTCATTGTTTCTCTCTGCCTGTCTATATGTCCAATGAATTCTCCAAGCCCTCATTATGTGTCCCCAGAATTTTAACTCTGTCTCTTTGATTCTAAATATCCATGTTTGTATGTATTTTTCTTGTAATTTCCTTATTTCTCACATTTTTTTAAATCATTTCACCCCAACCAATGTAATAAAGCCATTGTCTTTGGTTTTGTTCATTCACCTTCATTTAAAAGCAAATGCTCCAGGAAATGACATAAGCTCGTAAATCCTACAGTTCTCAATTAGTCATTTAAACTCAAATCATGAATGAATGCTGCTTGTATCAAAAGTTTAAATCATGAATTGATAGTATTCACTGATCTTCAATGAAACATCAATTGATATAAATGATTCCCACTATGTAAAGGTTATACACAACCTTGTATTACATTCTATTCAAGTGGGTATGTCGTTAAATATATACTATAATTTGAGTGTTTACTACAGCGGATTAATTTAACAGATTATATATATATATATATATATATATATATATATATATATATATATATATATATATATATATATATATAATCGTGTGTGTAAAATAGAATACAGAATCCAGACAAAGTTTGAAGAATAACAAATGAAAAACCACTTGATTGAGATCAGATTACACATTTCACTCTTACTGGGCTTCATCAGATCAAAAATGAAAGAAAGAAATATGTGTGTGCATGATTAAATAAATCGTTAGTACTTTTTCAGCTCTGGCATTTCCCAGGATAAAAGAATGAAATTGTGTGACATAAATCTTTTATTTTCAACCCTTTCTGAAAAATTGGATAATGATTTACTGTAAGTTAATTTTAAAAAAAAGAGTATATGAATGTTTTACTTTTGAGCCATTCTGAAAATACGATGAGGATTCACCCTATATTCAATGCAGAAAAGTTGGAAGAATGTATAAATAAATTTCAACACAAACAAGAATATTGTAAAGAAATGGTATAGAATAAATATTAACAGCTTCTTTTTTACAAAATTTGCACAATTTCATTCTTTTCTTTAATAACAAGAAACCCCAGTTTAGCAGAAAAAGTACTAACAATCTATTATTTAAGCACAGACACCATATTTCTTTCTTTCATTTTTTTATCTGATGAAACCTATTAAGGGTGGAAACACATAAGCTAGTTTCAATGAAACACTTTTCCAAAATGTATATTTATTATTAGTATAAATTTTAACTCTGTTCTTTTATATCAAGCACTATTTTATTACTACCACAACCCACTGTGCACAATTTCATATATATATATATATATATATGCGGGCACCTCGGCGTGGTGTAATGGTTAGCAAACTTGTCTCGCTAGATCAGTTACAACTGAAAAGTGAGTTCGATCCTCACTAGGTGTCCCATACTTTCGGCCTTGTGCCACATCTAAGCTACGCTTAGAAAATAACTATATATATATATATGTATGCATGTATGTCAATATTAGTATGCCAATGAAAGAAATTCCAAGAGATAAAAAACAAAATAATAAAACTAATAATATTTATTGTATATTAGTAGGCTTTTCAACCAAATAGAAGCATGATGAGAAAAGTTTTTTCTTTTTTTCTATATTTTTTCTTTTTTTCTTCCCCCCCCCCCAGATTTGAATCCTGAATGAATGATGCCTGTATAATTGGAAAAAGTTTAAATCCTCAATTAATGACGTTCACTGATCTCCAAAGAAACATCAATTGAGGATGCCTGCCATTTAAGGGTTAATGAATCAGTTATTCTCTTTTACAAGAGGCACCATGATCCAATTTGGCTTGGCATCAAGTATTTATACACATGACCCCCATCAATTCCAACTTGTAATTCATTTTCAGGATTATATGTCAACAAAATAAGCTAAAGATTCTTGCAACATAATTGGCCTTTATTTAAATAATTTTAGCATTCGAGAAAATCTCAAGTGCCTTTTGATAATTTTGTCAAGATGAGAAGTGCTAGACTGTGATATGAATATTTGTGGTCTATGTTGTTTTGACAGTTCATATGATGACTGAAACCTAAGTGTTTAATTATCTCCAACATCACTTTCCAACATCTATCTGCATATATTTCAGTATTGCAGTCAATCCATGTCTGTCTCTATATATCTATATTTCAAGACCAGTCTATTCATATATCTATTTATCTGTCTTTCCAGCTCAGTCTTTCCATATCTATCTATTTTTGTCTCTCTCTCATATATATGTGTGTGTGTGTGCGCATATTCATATATATATATAATTTTCTGTCTCAGTCTGTTCATATATCTCTATATATATATATATATATATATATATATATATATATATATATATATATATATAAACACATTACATTATATGTTTTTTTCCCTTTCCCAGTCTATTCATATCTGTTTGTACCTGTCACCAGTTTGTTCATGTCTGTTATATATATATATATATATATATATATATATGTTTATCTATTCCAGGTTGTTATGTTACTCTTCATCCCTGCCTGTCCACATTCCTCTCCATCTTAATCTGTTTATGTCTGCTCATGCCTCTATCTATCTATCTACCCTAGTTTGCTCATGCCTCTATCTATCTATCTACCCTAGTTTGCTCATGCCTCTATCTATCTATCTACCCTAGTTTGCTCATGCCTCTATCTATCTATCTACCCTAGTTTGCTCATGCCTCTATCTATCTATCTACCCTAGTTTGCTCATGCCTCTATCTATCTATCTACCCTAGTTTGCTCATGCCTCTATCTATGCCTCTATCTATTTGCTCATGCCTCTATCTATCTACCCTAGTTTGCTCATGCCTCTATCTATCTACCCTAGTTTGCTCATGCCTCTATCTATCTACCCTAGTTTGCTCATGCCTCTATCTATCTACCCTAGTTTGCTCATGCCTCTATCTATCTACCCTAGTTTGCTCATGCTATCTACCCTATCTATGCCTATCTATCTACCTAGTTTGCTCATGCCTCTATCTATCTACCCTAGTTTGCTCATGCCTCTATCTGTCTACCCTAGTTTGCTATGCCTCATCTATCTACCCTAGTTTGCTCATGCCTATCTATCATTCCTAGTTTGCTCATGCCTCTATCATCTAGTTTGATCATGCCTCTATCTATCTACCCTAGTTTGATCATGCCTCTATCTATCTATCTATCTATCTATCTACCCTAGTTTGATCATGCCTCTATCTATCTATCTATCTATCTATCTATCTATCTATCTATCTATCTATCTATCTATCTCTTGCTTCCTCTCAGCATCACTAGTTATTTTTAAATTCTGCTATGCTCAGCAAAGGTACAGTAGGTAATTTCTACTTTTTATTTTTAGTTCTACTCAACTAACACGTTGCCACAAAAAAAATGGTATGTGTGTCAATAACTGGTGTAAAGGGCTTTTCTTTTCTTTTTCTTGTATTTGTTCATTTCTCTTCTATCTTCAATTAACCAGTTAAGCATCCAAATGAAATTGTTAATCATTTCAATCTTGGTACTTATCAAAAACATTATTAATGTCTCTCTCTCTCTCTCTCTCTCTCTCTCTCTCTCTCTCTCTCTCAGTCATTATGTCATTGTTGCATTGATTTATAAATGTTTTCTATAAATAATTTTTTTTCTTACAGTAAGGTTTACCCTGTACAAGGCTCAAGAGCCACGCAAGGTAGAGGGCTATGTTAAGGGGTAGTTTATTTGGATAGGAGGGGGAAGATAATGGTTAACTCTAGAATTGAACTGATTAAGATTGTAGTGATCGTGGAAACATCCTTTGGGGGTCTGTTCCACAGAGCAATGGTTCACCGGAAGAAACTGTGTGCTTAGGTCTTCTCACTGATGGATTACGGAGGGAATGTGGGTGGTTTGCTACTATGTATGTGGCATGGCAGGTCCTGGCCATAAAGATTAGACCTGGTGGAACCAAAGAATGTAGTTCATCTGAGCACTTTTCATGGAAGTAGGAATAGAGCAGTTATTCTATTGTCGATATTGTTTATGTATGTCCCTGTGATCAAAAACCAATTTCAACTGTTGTCATAAAAATTGTTATGAACATACATATATTTCTATAAAATATTTAATCAAATTTAAATGACAGTCTGTTTGTTTAAGTATTTTCCACTGTCTCAGAAATTATCATATATATTTTTCTCTGAATATACCAACTAAAGAATAAAAGGAAAATGCAAAACAAAAGAATTTACCTATACAGATCATTACCATAATAAAACCCTATGGTGCTCATTGTTTGTTGTATAAAGAAACCGCAAACCAAACTGAGACAGGGTTGTAATAATGACAACAATTTGAATCCGTGTAGTGAAAACTGCCCTATAACCTTTATTCTTTCATGCTAAAACTGCAATTGTCATAAAACCCTGATCGTAATTATCTGATCACCGTTTTGGCATGAAACTAAAAGCAAAGATTAAAGGTCAGTGTCTTCAGATATATTTCTGATTGTTTGTTTTATATATATATATATATATATATATATATATATATAATATCATTGGCAGACAGTACTGTTTCGCTGTATCACAGCTCCTCAGTGCGACTAGACATCTGAATGCCTCAACCGATTTGGTGTCAGTCAGAGCTTCTAACACTGAGCTGTCTTCACTTGGCAGAGTTACACTGCTAAATCTAGCCTATTGTTTTTACGAATATAAACAAATGCCAATCAGCTGAAGTGCTCCATTCATTTTACTGAAGAGCTTTGCATCAGTGCAGGTGGCTGTTGTTTATAGATTTAGCTTATTAATCAACAGTGCTCAACTGAAATATATTTTCAAGAGCTAAATTATGTCATTCACAGACAGTACTGTTTTGATGTATCACAGCCCCTCAGTGTGACTAGACATCTGAATGTCTTGAGCCAGGATCGAAACCCAACCGAGGTGTCAGTCAGAGCTTCTACCATGCCTGAAGATTGCATTCAAGAATCAAACAACATGTTGCTGCTCAGTGTTGGTTTCATTGCCCACTTGTATATATTATTATACATCAGTTTTATTATATATATATATATATATATATTTCTGAGATGAGGTATTATATACATTATTTACATTATTAGAACTATTGTCCTCATCTTTGTCACCATAAAAAAAAAATGGTTGCTGAAGACATTAGGTTTATAATACCCAGAAACATCATACACAGATGTCCTCAAGAATGGCACATGGCACAATGGATAAAGGCGTTAGTTAGATCCAGTGACAGGACTCAAAGTTCAATACCAGGTTAAGGCAGTGGAGAACTTTCAGAGGGAAATTAACAGGAGATAACTGATAACTGACATCCATTAAACATGGCACATGGAACTAGAACAGTCTACCCCAGTGAGTGAAATAAAGGTTTCAGTTCGACATTCCCACATACCTGAAGAAAGCCAGAGCGTACAACGGCCGAAACGTTGTAATAAATATGGCGACAAAGATGAGGACAATACTCTGAATAATGTAAATTATATATATAATTTTATTATGTACCTTTATTCAGTTTTATTATATATATTATAGGTCACTGTCTCTAAATATATTTCGGCTTGTTATATAGAAGGGTGAGGCAAAAGTTATGCACAATAAGTGTTTTTTTTTAAAATCAGGTTTTAAGTGTCTAATTTGTTTTGATAGGTTCTGTTGAGTGGCCACCAAGGTCACCTGATTTCACACCCTTGGATTGTTTTCTCTGGCGCCGTTTGAAATCAGTTGTTTATCAGACATGCCCAGTTTCCTCTGTCATTTTACGGCATTCATATATCATCTTTTTCTTTAAGTTTCTCAATATTTCTTGGGTGCAACTGATTTCAGAAAAAAAAATCCAAGAGTGTGAGGTCTGGTTACCTTGGTGGCCACTCAACAGAACTTCTTTAACTTATCCTATGGTGCGTGACATTTGCCTCACACTGCCTCTGTTGGATTTTAAATCAGCCCACTCTTAGATCTCTGTTTTCTTCTTTATTAGCTTGTATAACATATTGTACTACTATTGCATTTGTGATGATTGGTGTTATTATGTAAAGTCCTGGTCTAAGTTTTATTGTTGACAATTGCGAGATTAGTACTTGCTTAATGAATTTTCTACTCAGTGAATCCTTTTCTCTCTTGATAAGACTGACATTTATTAAGTCAAAATTGTGTTCAGCTGTGTTATGGTGAAATTTTTTTTCTCTAAATCAGGCTCCCCAGTTACCAAAAATCTGCTCTGGATCATTAAAAAAAAAAAATGAAATAAAACTAAGACATTATTTAATTAGAAAAGCTTTTAATTGCTTTTAAGAGTAAGATATATTATGGACACTTTTCTTAAGAATTTTTTTTTTTTTTCAATGAATAATAAATTTTTACAACAATCATGTTCATTTTAAAATATTTAATTATAATAATTTATAAAATTTAAAACCTTTTAAAATTCCGTATTAATTTATAGAGCAATGATAGATGATACTTTTGTTAAGTGAAAACTGTATTTACTAATCATAAATGGAAAAACTTACTACAATTCAGCGATTCCAAGTATTTTTAAAATAATTTTGAATTTGTATGTTTATGTGTGTATAAACATGCCAATTTTATGAATATAGACATCCATACTTGACATTATCAGAAAATAAGAACAGTAACTATAGTAGATTTAAAATTTATTAATAATTCTTTAACATTTCCTCAGCAAGGGCCTTTGTATATAATGTACCTAAAATTCAATAATCAAGATATATTTAGGACACTATTGTCTTATGAAAAAAATTTTTTTAATGCATTTTTACAAAAATTGTTTTTATTTTCTTCAAATTTTAATTTGAATAATTAATAAATTTTTAAATCTTTTAAAATTCTGTCTTAATTTCTAACACTTAGGTGATATTGTTATTAAGTAAAAACTGTATTTAGTAATCAGAAATTGAAAAGCTTCTTACAATTTTGTATCTCCCAGTATTTTAAGAAGAATTTTAAAGTTTTTTTTGTCTTTTTTTGTATGTGTATAAATGTGCCTACTTTTGTAGATACTGATGTTCATACATGATATTATCAGAAAATAATACAAGACTTGAACACACATCTTACAAACTTTTCTTTTATTGACATCACTTTTAATCTCATCAGTTACAGAAACATTCATGATTAAGTGAGTGTCAACAATCAGTTGCCATTCATCCACTCCCTCCTCATCTTTGATTCTCACTTTTAATATGAGCCATTTCTTTATATGGAACCAAGTAATATTCATTGACCAAGCACTCAGTGCTACTTTTGTTTGAAATTTATAAAATCCTACTATTAAAATATGACTCCCCTTTGTCTTTTCTATAAATATTTTCATGAAAACTGCCCTAATGAGCTTTTTTTCCTGGTGTTCTAACTACATGAATTTAAGCATCCTACTAGATTGGAAACTAGGTCCCACCATTTTAATGTTGAAATAGCTAGATGCAACTACCTCTTCTACTCTAATGGTTTCTTTTTTTTTTTGTGATGTTTGACGGCTTCACTTGTCACTTTTGCTATGTCAAGCAAAAGCTTGTTATCACTTGCAAAATGCTTGTTATATTCAAGACTTTGTAGACACTGGTAGTAGTAGTAGTAATGCTTTCCAATAATATCTGCACTAGTAATACTTGTTCAAGTAGTAATCGCCAAATAGTATAATGATCAGAAGAGAATCGTAATCCATAGAGTAGTAGAGTAGCGAGAACATATAGCAATAGTGGATAGACAAGAAGTGAACAGGGATCTTTACACTGCTTTGTATTTATTCACTTTCTTTATGATCATGTGATCTACTTAATAATGGAATCACCCATGTTACTCACTGGCAATCTCATTTCAAATCACAGTGTCAGCAACAACACTTACTCTTATACAACACTTTTCTTGCATTTCCCAACTGTGGAAGTATCTTTCTTGTTTCCATCTACAATCTTCAAAAATTTAAATGCAACATCAATCACCATCTTCCGTTTTCTTGAACTCTGTTCCTTTTTTGTCCTTTCCTCACTGTTATACTGGAACACACCTATTCTATAGTTAATAGACTCTCCCACCTATAATAAGTAGTAGCAGTTGCGAAGTCACTCAGTGAGTTGGTCAGTCAGTCAATGTGGGACATTAAGAGTATCAGCGACCACCACTAGATTTCTCTGCGTCATTACTAATTATATCAAGTCCCTAACGTTTTGTACGTCAAACCTTTTTAGGACCGACTTAGTAAAATACAAGCCCCCACTGTGAAACTACTCTACAACACTTACCATTCTCAGTTTTTTTCATTCTCTTTCACTGTTACTCCCTATTCTCACACCTGCATTCTAGTGGCATTATCACCTTGCTTGGGGTGAAATGATTTTTTAAAAGAAAAAAAGAAGAAAAAAAAGTTGTTCAGGTTTCTCAAGTTTACTGTTATCCCTCTTTCCAATATTGATGAGAGTTTTCTTCCTAACTTTTTGTTCAAAGTCGTGTGGAACATCGACATTATGATTATGCCATTATTTTCTCTTCAAGTTACATGTGCTATCCATTTTAGTTGTTGCTGCTGTTGGTAATCCTCAAGTGATGTGGTTTTTGTTATTTGGTACAGTTCTTTATGATTTTGTAGTGCCAGTCCATGAGGCATGATAAAGGATGGTCCCTTCTAATACCTACAGAGTTCATTTACTTGAAACCTTTTTTTATCCATTGATCTGAAAAAGGAGTTGACAGGTTTGGTGCCATGCATGATATCAGCGTGGAAGTCTCAATCTGGAGAGGCTATGTAAGAACAGGATTCTAGTTCTTAGGTTAATGTTTTGGTTTTCTAGCATCTTGCAGTATTGTGTGAAACTACCTATATTCTCAGTTCAATTTCCTTATCTCCTATACTAAATTTGTTATAATTTATCAATGTATTGATGTATTTGAAGTGTTTAGTATTTACTAATTCCACATATTTTTTTATGATAGATTCAGTGTATATACCATCATTGCTTTCATTCCAATTAATTTCTGTTTGAGAAAAGTTGAATCCTATTGAAATCTTGATTCCTGTTTCTTAGAATACTTGGTAGAGGATGTTAATTTTTTTGTAGAAAATCATTCTTATCTCAAATATTAATACATATATCATTGGCACAGAGCCCTTTATCATCAATATGTTGGCCCCGGGAGAAAAAGTAGGAATGCTGTTTTTTTATTAGTAGATTCATTTGGGATGTAGTATGCAGTGATGGCATCCTACCAGTTTGCACAAACTGATTCTTAAAATTATAAAAGCTTAGTGAACCGGTTGTTGGATTATCTGAAAATAATCTTATATATGAATAGCCAATATATAATAATTAAATAGCTAATACCATTGCTGTAAGTTCTGCAGAGACTGAAAGAAGGTTTACTGTGATGAATATAATTTATTCTGACAAGCGAAATCATCTTGAAGTTGAAAATGTGACAAATCTTCTAGTCATAAATTTGATAGGTCTTCCATTGGATCTTTGGGACCGCAGTGATTCATTTCAAATATGGTTAAGAAACCATAACACAGCCGATGACACTAAAGTCAAAAAGCATCATACTTCTGAATAGAAATATGATAACAGAATTTAAATTTGGAAATATCTTAATAAATAAATATTTTCTATTAAATTATCAAAATGGTTTAATTCTTTTTGATACTATAAAGTGATTTGTTTCCGTTCTCAGATTGAAAAGAAAATAAGTAGAATAGATTCCTAAAGATTACATGCCTTTATAGAACCAGTTGCTATAAAATTTGGTATGCCATTATAGGTGGTATGTAATGCTTAAACAATCAGTGCCCATCTCTTAACATCTGTGTTTGTATATGCACTGAGCATAGTCTAGGAAGTGATTAAATAGATTTGGATTCTCATTTCCTCTTTATCATACTCCTGATTAAATTTAAAATGTTTCAATATTGAAGTTCTCAGCAGACATGTATGATTTTGTGAACCAATATAGTTCTAACAGATCTAGATATTCAATGGAGTTATTTGGGTTTCCAATAGATGAGAAGAAGAAGAAGTCTCTATTGATGTGGTCATATACTGCTGTGAGGTAAACATAGCGGATGTATAATTTTCTATTGGAGAGATGCAATGTTCTGGAGTTGTTTGATGATATATATTCCATCATTACATCCTTTGCCAGAGTGAAAGCCAAATTGGGTTGTGAGGAGTTGACTTTCATAGAAGATCGAGAGCTTTGTTAATATAATTTTCATTAATACTTTTACTATAATGGACTTCATTTGCTGTGTCAAAAGTTTCTCCTGCCACTGAAGGTGACTGATCCCTGAATTTGAATTGGTTTGAATTTCATAGTTGTGTTGTCGTATCCTGCAATGGCAACAGAAAACACCTTTGATTGAAAGTAACAATATGGTTACTGCAATTGAGAGTTCTTGAAAAAGAATGCAGTAGAAAAGGAAGTAATATTAATAATACAGAGTGTTAAAGGTTAATAGATATATTTGGGATGTGGTATGGAATACTTAAACAATCAGTGCTCATCTCTTAACATCTGTGCTTGTATATGCACAGAGCATAGTCTAGAAAGTGATTAAATAGATTTGGGCTCTCGTTTCCTCTTTGTCATATTCTTGATACAGTTTGAAATGTTAAAATATTGGGATCCTTGCCAGATATGTATGGCTTTATGGAGCAATATAGTTCCTCTGTTAGATCTTTACATTCAGTGGAGTCGAAGCTTAGGAGGCACTTTCTAACACCGTTTTTATTTTACTACCTAGTAAAAGTAATCTTCTTCATCTGAGGTCACTAGTATATACTAAAGTGTTTTGTCTCTTTGCCAGTCTAAGCTAAATTTAGTAAATACCATCACTAAATTCTGTTTTGTTTTTGTTTTGTTTTTCCAGTGGGGTGGCACTTGTGATCTAAATAACTGTTTTTTTTTTTTCCTTCATTTTTTTTTCCATTAAGATTTAGAGCAGTTGAAAAATTCTAAACATGAAAATATAACTCCATAAATATATGTTCTTACAATAAAAGAGTTTTAAGTTTCATACATCAATTGTTTGTGGTTCAGTTAAAAGATTTCTTTTTAATTACATCATTTAACTTTTAATCACACAAATAGATAAAAACAAAGGTCACATTACTATAAATACTCTATTTTTTTTTTTTTTTTTAAATTGGACAATTTATTGTACTTGATCTGTCAAGCTATATCACATTGAAACTCCAGTTCTCAAATGATCACCAAAGTTAAGCAACATCAAACCTGGTCAGTGCCTAGATAGGTAACTGCTTGGAAATACCATGTGCTGTAAACTTGGATGTGGCAGTGGTGTAATGGATAACGGCTCAGAATTGGAAATCGGAGAGCCAAATTCCAGTTCGAGTAGTATTCGCTATATTCACTTATCTGCAAATACTCTTGGGAAAGGTAAGAATCTTCCGTTTACCCCCCCTCCATTGCTGCCAGCTATGCTTTAATTAATAGAACTCTGTCTCTATCTTTATTACATTGAAATGCTGGTTCGCATACAATCGCTGGAATTAACACTAGGATGGTCGAGGTGTCGTTTTCGACACCTTCAAATTTTCAACAAATTACTATGGAATAACTAGTTTTGGTTCGATGCTGAGGCTTATGGACAATTATTGAATTTTAGCAAAGATGCTTAACAGACTTAATTCTTTAAAAAAATATTCAGTGGAATAGCTGATATTTGAGGTTTTACCTTGAATGGCTGAGGTGTTGTTTTTGACACATAGGCTATTTATAGGGTAAATGCATTGAAAAATTTCTCAAACAATAATACTTGTCTTTATGTCCCCTATCTATCTATTTATACACACACACACAATATATATAATCACTTTCTTTCAGTATGAGGTATACTAATATTTGTGAATTTCTTTTCAGACTTGTTATTCCTGACTTGAATATTGAATATATTAGAGATGGCTGCTTCACGGCGTAATGTAAATAAAGATGTCAAAAGAGCTGGCCATCCTAGTGTTAAGCAACATCAAGCCTGGTCAGTACCTAGACGGGTGACCACTTGGGAATACAAGATGCTGTAAGCTTGGATGTGCCGATGGCACAATGTATAAAAAAAATACTTACAATTACTTTGTTTTATGCTATGTCAGTTTCATTGTTCTTCAAATATTGTCTTCAAGGGTGACATTGTTTTTTTTAAATTATGTTTATATATAATTTTGAATATAGTTTTGAATAACCCAATTAATCTAAATCACAAATCCCACTTGAAATACATGTGGCTGATTAAAAACTGAGCTTAAAATCTCCCTTAATCTTAATCCTCAACCTAATTTTATGAAAACCAAAAATTGCAATTTCACTTGATTTTCTTTCAGATCAGTGCATATGATTAACTTAATAAACTGAAGTCGATTTCTAAATCCGCACCCCATCAGCAGTGAACGTTCAGGTGTCTCTAATTACAGGTGTTGGCTGATAGGATTATTGTTAGGTCAGTCTTTCAAAATGGTCTCACATAAAATAGAAGAGAGTGATGACTTGGTTATTTGTTAGTCAGTTCAACAATGCAATATATTTTCCAATAATATTTTGTTCTGGCATATTATGGTGATTGGGGTTGTAAGAAATTTGTCTAAGTTTACCCTGCTCCCCACTTTTCTGTACTCTCCTCCTCTTCGTGCTCTCCTCCGCTTTGTGCTCTCTCTCTCTCTCTGCTCTCATCCACTCCCACTTCACTGTCTCTCTCTCTCTCTGCTCTCATCCACTCCCTCTTCACTGTCTCTCTCTCTCTCTGCTCTCATCCACTCCCTCTTCACTGTCTCTCTCTCTCTGCTCTCATCCACTCCCTCTTCACTGTCTCTCTCTCTCTCTGCTCTCATCCACTCCCTCTTCAATGTCTCTCTCTCTCTCTCTCTGCTCTAAACCACTTCCTCTTCGATGTTTCTGTCTCTCTCTGCTCGCATCCACTCCTTCTTCACTGTCACTCTCTCTTTCTCTGCTTTCTCCCCACACTCTCACCATCCTCTTTCTCTTTGCTCTATCTCCATCTCATTCTGTTCATTATTTATCCCTTTCTTTTGAATTTAAAAAAAATGTTTATACTCATATGTTGGAATCAAATATAGATCAGAATCTGACAAAATGATAAGATAAAAATCAAATAGGAAACATTTATCAATCTAACATGTTTCACTTTTATTAAAGCTTCATCAGAGAATGAGATATGTAGAAAAAAGAAGAAAGAAATTCTGGCATTTTTATTTTTGTGTTTGATTTTCATTGGCATTTTTCACATGTATTCGACTTGTTAAACAAACATTTGTATAATTTGTGGTGTTCAAATTCAAGGAGTATATGTTTTCAGATATTGTTTCCTAAAAGAAATACTCTTTTCCCTAGCCAACATACATGACTATATTTTAAAAATTAAAAAAGAAAACTGTTAAATAAAAAGCCTATCATTTAAAAATATATGAATTAATTTCTCAAACTAAAATAATATAAATGATATTTACAGTATAAAAAATATATTCTATGACAACAATAACGTTTACTCATTCTCATTTGTCTTTATTTTGAATTTAAAAAATTAAAACATTTAGCATCCTTGACTTTCACTTAGTCTACAGTATATTTATAAGTATACTTAAATTAAAAAATTCTGAAAAATTAAACATTTTTACTTTTGTTTATAAATACTTGTTGCAAAATAAAATCCTTACATTTGCCTTGATAAAGTTCAGTGGAGGACGAAATATGCTGACTAAGAAAAGGTTTCCTTTTGTCTTTATTCATATTGTTGTTTTACAGATATATATATATATATATATATATATATATATATATATATATATATATATATATATATATCAGTTGTATCTGAATTTTTACCCCACCACCACATGCACACACATACACTTTGAACATTGAAGTCAACACTCAGAAGCAACAGTCTGTTTCAGGCTCAAAACACAAACATCAGACTATATGCATCATTTTTGCCTGACTATTTATCTAAATAGGTCAGTGATGCATCGTGGGTAGTCTGTTGTATAACAGTTATTTTGGTGGGCGGTAACAGCTATGTTTCAAATTATTCTAGGGGTTTTTGCATGGAAATAGGTTTTTGGTTATTTATAGTGTTGTTTTAACTTTTTTATTCATTTATTATTGATTATTTTATTGTTAGCTGTTATTACATTTTGGTGTTTATGTGTATGTTTGTGGTTTGTTAATTTGTTTATTATTTACTTAATTTATTTACTTATTGGTTTGGATTAATTTATTTTATTTTTGTTTATTTTTCTTTATTCTTGTTTGTTCTTAGTCTTCGATTTTTAAGTAACATAGTAAAAATTTGTTTTTGTGTCTGCATTTTGGGATGAGTTCTGATCATTTATTTTGTAGTTTGTATTGGTCGGAGAATGTAATTATAGCTATTTCTCCTCCAGACAGTTTAGAGTTTTTGGATTTATTGTTGTAAGCTGATGCCATTTTCCTTATTTTCCATGATATTTTTGGTGTGATTTGGTTTTTATCTTTAATTTCCTAGATATGTTTAGAAAGCATTGTGCTGTTCACATATTTACTATTTGTAAATAATGTTTTCTGTATGTAGTTTCTTTGTTTTTAGACACACATGCACATATATATGTGTGTGTATATATATATATATATATATATATATATATATAGAGAGAGAGAGAGAGTATGGATAGGAATCTGAAAAAATTATTTATAATTTATTTATTCCAAGTACTTTCGACATTTTGCACACTGTCATCAATGTCGAAAATACTTGGAATAAATGAATATGCATCAACATAGTAATTTTCTCTCTTCTTTTAATAAGGATACTAAGAAATTTGTCCATGAATATGAGAGGATCCTATTGAAAATAAGTAGACAAAACTTGTCTAAATTATTCAGTGAAATATGTCTTAAAGAAAACATGCTGCCAAAATATACACTATATATATATATATATATATATATATATATATATATATATATATATATATATATACACACACACACACTCACTCTAACCTTATCTTCAAAAATAACAATACATCAGCAAAGTCAAAATTACAACAAATGAACATTATCTGTGAGTTCAAATGCCGCTTAAGGAACTGTGTTCCTGATCAAATCAAATTCATAAATAATTACATTAGTCACATGACTACATGCCTATCCAGACACCCTACGTTACACTTATCTGGACAGAGCTTTATTAGAATCCATTTAAAAACACACACAAACTTACCAGACTCCATCTGAAACACACTAGTAGAAAATACAAGCATAATAACCTCATCCATATGTAAAAAAAAATATAAAAAATAATGGAAGCCCTAATAATAAAAAAGAAAAGGCCAACACTTAATAATATTAACTACAAACATGGCCACAATGTTCTGTATACGGAAAATAAAATATCTCTATAACACTAAAAAATACACACAATGCACACACCCAATTAAATTGCAAAAATAAAATCATTCTTGTTAATGGCTAAAAGTATAGCCGAAAGCGCTCAGAATTATAGAACATTTGGACAGTTTCTACACGCACTGTGTTCAAAAAAGAAAACACTAGAATCATTAAAGAAAAAGCTTAATCACAGTACCTTGTCTATCGGCTTTAATGAAACATACACACACACACACACACACACACAGAGTAATAACTTTAGTGTAAAGCCAGAAATGGTGTCACTCAATGGGAGTCTGGAAGAAAGTACATTTAAGGCAAGCAGTCTTTGCAATAAAGTGTTCCAGATCAAAGATAGAGCATTAATAGGATTAATACAAATAAAATTTGTTACTTAGCTGAGTAACGTTATATTCAGCACCTCAACATCAAAGTATTATAGATTAACTTTTTTTTGTTCAGACACTCAAAGCCAAAAAGGGATGATGAAGATCATAAATAACCACGATATTTGACATATGCACACAGAAAAAGAGAAAAAAAAAATCCAACATAACACCAATAAGAGCATGCCAACTTGTGCATTGGGTTTACAGGTTCAATTCCTGTCAGAGAAGCATATATTTCTACACAATTTCTCAAACATTCAGGCCAGTAAATAATTAATTAATTAATAATTCATACTGTTTATTTAAAAAAAAGAAAAAAAGACCACTTACTTAAATAAACTGTATCTATTAAAATAACATATAAACAAAATATATAAGATAATTGTCCGTCAGACTTAATCCATTTCATATATATATGTGTGTGTGTGTGTTATGAGTAACAGTTGTTGAATTTTCTCATTCACTCTCTCTCACTAATATATATATATATATATATATATATATATATATATAATGTAAATATCCTACAATTGTTACCCATAACAACAATCTAGTAATTTTACCCATTTCATCTGTCAACACACCTTGCTTGGAGTGAAATGCTTAAAAAAATAATATGCATAAAAATCTCTCTTAGGACGTAAGTCATCTCTTTGCCAGATCTTTGCCACCCAAACAATGATTCATTTCATTTTCACTGGAAACATTTTTAGCCACAATGTAATAAATGACCAAAAAAGATTCTCGATTACATATCAACTACCACCATATGTGTGTGAGTGATGGTGCTGAAAAGTTCTCAGCCTGATCCATTTTCCAAAATCTAACCAAATTATGAAAACATTAGAATTTATTTAGGAAAAGCCTTGTCATTTGGGCCGAGAACTTTTCATCATACCCCTATTTATGAGAGAGAGACTGGAGGAAGGAATATGTGGATGCTATTTTTTTTAAGCTTGCAATTTCCTTTTAAGGAAGCTAATTGAACAAAATCTGATACTCACAGGACAGGATTGAAGGCAAGAGGGACAGAGGAAAACAGCACATGACATAGTTTCCTTGAGTAAATGGATGGTGGAACAGGGTTTAGGTGAAATAGCAAAAAGACAAAATTTATTGAGCTACAAAGGACAGGAAATTGTGGAGAGCCATAATCACCTATGTTCTGAGAGGACACAGCACATAAAGAAGATGGCACAAATCTGTGAAATCTGATCAACCCTTCAGATTAAACCTGTCACTTGAGTCATCCTATATATTATTTATTATTTAGCTTCCTACTATACATAAACAATTACAGAGACACACACATTTTTTATGTAATCCAATATGTGATGAAGATTAAATTAAACAAAATATCTCCAGCTTTTCATTCACTTTAAGGATTACATGTTTATCTGTCTGGATTCTGTATCTTGTTTTATACACATATTGACACAGAAAACACAAGGATAGACCTAAAAAATATGCACTTTTAACCCATTCTGAAAATAGGGTGAGGATTTATACCTTAAATTCAATGCAGAAAATCTGAGATAATGTATAAATAAATTTCAATGGTTTTGTGAAGTCAGTGAATACTCGTTGCCACTTTTGTAATGCCAATGAATACTCATTGTCACTTTCATAATGCTTATAGTAGAGACTTTGTAATCGCAGATACAACTATAGTATGCTGTTGAACAATGCTGGTGTTAGATGCCTTCAAATAGTAACACTAATAGTACTTGCTTGATAATACTCATTCGAATAGTAATCACTGTAAAGTGATCTGAATAGAGAAATAGTATAGTGAATAAAGTAGAGAATAGTGTTCCATATCGTAATAGAAGGTAGAGTAGAAATAGTGATCCAAATAGTAATAGAAGATAGACTACAATTGGAGATCAATCTTGATATCATGCGATTTCCTATTTATTTGTTTCCTCTATGATCACGTGATCCACTTAATTCAATAAGGGGATTGCCTGTGTTTGCTCATTGGTGATCTGTTCAAACTCAAGTGTTGGTAGCAACACTTTATTCCTATATGGGAACAAGAAAACTGTAAAGAAAAGATACAGAATAAATATAACTGCTTTTTTACAAAAGCTGCACATTTTCATTCTTTTTCTTTCATCCCAAGGAACACCAGTTTAGCAGTAAAAATATGAATGATTTATTATTTAAGCATACACACAAATACACACACACACACACAGTTCTTTCATTTTTGATCTGATTAAGCCAAGAAAGGCAAAACACATTTCAATTCAATTTCAATTAAATTAAATTTTTAATTCAATTAAAACAGTTTTCGATTTATCATATTCCTCAAACTAAGTCTGGATTCTCTATCCTATTTTATACACATATCTATTTATCTACTAAATAATAACGCATACATTTTGTAATTTAAAGATTTTGAAAATGTATCTATGAAGTTGAAAAGGATCTTACACATGATGATTTATAAAATGCATTTGATATATGTAGAAATAAATTCAACCACAACTTTCAATCTAAAGAATACCATACTTATTAAAAGAGAAAGTAACTCAGATGGAAAGTTTTTGAGAGTGCCATTATTGAATCTAGCCAAAATATTAAACTGCAGCCAATGTCTCCTTTCCTAAAAGAAATGCTCCCTTCTTAAGCCAACATACATGAACATATTTTTTTTTTAAATTAAAAGGGTGTTAAATCAACACCTTCTACTATTTAAAATAAATACATAAATACTTTATCAAGTTAATATAATAATTACATCAAGAACAATATTGAGGAAATTGTATGACAAAATGAAGAAAATTTTACTTGTGGTGTGTTTTATCCTTTGGGACTTCACCAGACTAAATGTATTATGTTGGTAGAATGACAGTGGTGCTGAGAATTATAGAATTTTTTTTTCCTAGCTGAATTCATTTGAATCTTTTTTTGAGTATTCCACACTGTGATATTAGTAGATCAATTAAAGAAAGTCAAATAATGGAATTTACATACAAAATGTAAGAACAATTCCTTATTCTTCTGAGATATCAAGCTACACCACGTTAACAACAGTTTAAAACTCCCTGTCCACTGGAAATCACCCAACAAAAACAACCTAATAAATTTCTATTCTAATCATAACAACAAAATAAAATCTGGTATAATCATTAGATTCTACCTCAGAGAGCTAAGAATATGCAGCTCAGATTATTTACACAAAGAGGAAAAATACATTGAAAACACTTTCAAATTTCTCTAGTACCCTAATTATTTTATATTCAATGCGGAACAAAAGGCTCATATGATATTCCAAAACAAAAAAAATGGCTCCTCCTGAGGAACCCAATGAATCAAAAAAATATATTATCCCATTTACAATTGAAAAGAATCTATAAAAGCACAGCATAACATTTGTTTACTACTATATCCAAAACAATAAAAGACATAGTCAATACTAAACAAAATAATAAGATAAAACCTGAAGGAGTTTACTCCATAACTTGTAATAATTGTCACAAAATACATAGGAGGAATCTAAATAAAGGATTATATGAAGGCAAAAGGGACATTTTACAAAATAATATGTCAAATGTGTTGGTTGACCACAATTTTGACATAAAAAATGCTACTCTGATCAAAGGAGAAAATAATTCACTATGGCATAAATGTCTAGAGTGACTTAATCACAAGGTCATTTACAGTAAATTTGCACCTTGGCTCTTATAATATTTCACTATTCCTGGCAGATCTTCCATCACAGTGTGGAATACCTACTAACAAAATTGATGGAACGAAAAAGACGCTAAATGAATTCAGCTAGATAAAAAAAATAATTCTAAAATTCCCAGCACTCCTCTGTCGTGTCATTTATTTAATCCCACAGAGAGTTGATAAACCATAAAAAGACAATCAAGCAATCATGATGTGTTATGAATCATGAAAATCCAAGTCGAGTGCCAATAAGTATTGCAAACTTAAATTGCTTTTGATACAATAAAGATTACTCTAGACAACTATTACAGCCATATCGCATTGAAACACTGGTTCTTGTAGGATCACCAAAATTAAACGATGTTGAGCATGATTAGTACTGTTGTAACCTAGGGAAGGTTACTGAATAGAATAATCAAACAAAGGTTGGTAATGAACGATAATACTTAGGACAAGAACAACACATAAAATTCGCCAGCGGCGTGTAGAAGTAGTCAACTGCTAGAAGTGAATCAAGTGAATTCTACAATGAATTTCCAACTGTGGGATATCTAGCAACCACCCCATGCTGTCTGATGTGGCACAGGGCTAAATTTAATGTGGAGTATCCAAGCCCATAGGCTCGACCAAAGATTCCCCACAGACCCCATATAAAACAGGGTTGGGTAGTTGTTTCCCCAAGATGACTCTGCCCTTTGACATAGCCTCATCTGGGAATCCTCTCTCCTTTGATCAGCACAGCTGGAGACGAATCTCCAACTGCAGATCAACATACAGTATTTACTACTGTATTTATGTGAATGGGGACATACCCATTAGCGTCCGTAGATATGCTACAACAAGTGCCTAGATAGGTAACTGCTTGGGAACACCAGGTGCTGTAAGCTTAAATATACCAGTGGTCTAATGGATAATTGTTATATAGGAATAAAATGTCACTGCCGATACTTGAGTTTGAACATAGATCGCCAGTGAGCAAACACAGGCAATCCCATTATTGAATTAAGTGGATCACATGACCATGGAGGAAATGCATAAGCAGGAAGTCGCATGACATCTAAATGATCACTATTTCTCCTCTATCCTCTATTACTATACGAACTGCTATTCCCTACTCTACACTATTCTCTATTCTGATCAATATGGTGGTTACCTTTGAGTGAGTATTATCGAACAAGTACTATTAGTGCAAGTGATATTCAAAGGTGTCTGACACCAGTATTGTTCAATAGCATTATTATAGTTGTATCTGCAATTACAAAGTCTCTACTACAAACAAGCATTATGAAAGTGACAAAAAGTATTCTTGGTACCACAAAAGTGGCAACAAGTGTTCATTGACATCACAAAAATAACAATTCTGATTCATTATATTCATTTATATGCAAATGATCTTGGGGAAAGGTATGAATCCACTTCATCTCCCCCCCAGCTATGGGTTAGTTAGTAGGCTTGTATCAGTAAATCATTCTTATCTCTCAAAATTGTTAGAATCTAAAAATATTTTCTGGCTTCAAATAACCTGCAAAAGATTGATAAGCCATAAAGCGCAAATCAGTCTAGACAATTGTTGAGTCATTTGTTGACAGAAATTCTGTTCAGCTTAATATATGTAATTTTGCATATATCAATAGGTAAAATTAATACTGTTATTATTAACATTTTATCTGTTTGTCTGTTTACCTGGTACCTCATGGCACATGTGGTTTCTGCAGAACCTCCCCACTCTACCCTGTCCCCAGCTGCCACTCTCACTTTGCTTAGGATTACCAGCTCATTGTTTCTCTATAGTCCATTGCCATATGAACTTTTGGCCTTGTCTTTCTCCTCACATAGCAGTAATGATTACATATATACACAACAAATTCACTTGCATTTTAACTATGACTGCTACCAATTCTTGTGTCCAAAAACATCAATTAAGTATTTCCTGTTGCTGTCCACTAATTTTACAGTTAGTCCAGCACTCACCTTTAGTCTTCATAGTTCAAATGCATTTACGTGGTTTTGTGGGCAATGAATTGTAGGTATTGTTTTCCATTTACAACCCGTTTCCTCCCACAGATGAAACATCAAAAGCCTTTCAGTATTCTTTCACTATTTCCTTGGCAAATGTTCTGATGAGCTGTATTGCTTGATTCTAACCCCCCCCCCCATGCCACGTACATAGGGATAAATCATCCTCATTTCCTTTGCATGCCATTAGTTTCACTCAGACAGCTTTTTCCTTAGAACTGCTGATTTGTGGAACAAAACTGGCAGGAGTAAATATTTGAGCTTAACAACTTTAACAAAATATTGCAATAACAACCATAAATATGAATGCTGGTCGTTATTTTAAGAAGTAAGGGGGTACAAATGAAAAGATTTGAAATTGACAACTTTTTTCATTTCACTGAAACAGTCATTAAACATTTCTATCTTTCCTACTTTTTTTTCTTTCATTCATTTTCTCATTGAAACCAAGTAGCATCTCTGATATGTGTTTTGCTTTCCCATGCAATCAAAATTATTATTATTATTATTATTTGAGGTATTGGCAGGAGACATTAAACACTTCTATCTACCCTTCTTTCTTTTTCTCTCTCCCTTCCTCACTCCTTCCTTCTCTTTCTTTCTCTCTTCTTACGTCTCTCTCTTTCTCTTTCTTTCTCTCTTCTTACGTCTCTCTCTTTCTCTTTCTTTCTCTCTCTTTCTCTTTCTTTCTCTCTCTTTCTCTTTCTTTCTCTCTTTCTCCTCTTTCTCTCTCCTCCCTCACTCTCTCTCCCTTTCTCTCTCCTTCTCTTTCTTTCTTTCTTTCTTCCTTTCTCCCTATCTATCTCACTGAAACCAAATAGTGTTCTTCCCCTATTTCCATGCAATCAAAACAGAATAGTTCTTTATTAATAAGGTTTTGGCAGAGTGTAATGGCCATGCAAACTAAGGCACTAATAAACAAAGTGGGGAACAAGCACTGTTGTTGTATTATTATAAGTATTTGCTAATAAAATACAAACAAAGGTAGCCATTCCATAATTAACAAAAAAATTCCCTATCTTTTTAAATAAATGTCTCATAATTTAATGGATGTTTTTTTTGTCTTTTAATTTGATAATTAATAATTAATTCATTAATAATATTTTATTTTCTCTTCATTCAATGTTAAGAGTTTTCTTTTCACACAAAAACCAGATCATTATCTTCAAGTGTGCATGTCTGAATACAGACCCCCACCCTATTGTTGCAAGTTGGATTGAAAATAGATTTATTGTTCAAGTTGGAGCATTTAAACATTTGATTGTTTGTTATTGCAACATAACTAAATAAACACAGCTGCAAAAAGAAATTGGATCATTATTATATGATTTGTTTTCTATGCATTAGTAAAAAAAATGGCTACCATGGCTTTGGGGATTCAAATTTTGTTTTCTTTAAGATTGTGAACCTTAATGTTTCATTTCTTCTGCGCCCATGTTTTTTATGCTTATAAAATGTAGAATATTTTGCTCATAAAAGCATCATCTAAACATTATATTAATTTGGCCAGAAAGTCCTGACTCACTTAGGAAGCAGAAATTAGAACAGCAAAATTTTATGCAGCAACACCAACATTTTTTCTTCAAACAAGCTTCCCTCACTTCAGCAAAAGTGTTGAAGCACTGGTTGTGGAGAAAGTGTGTCATTGAGTGGTATAGGCCATAGTTACACAGAGCAGCATCAGGACTGAATAGTGGATGTAAAAGAATCTCAACACTGTCCATCTGTTTGAACTTCTCCTTAGTCAACCTAGCAGTCTGTGGCTTCGCATTGTCTTACTGAAACAAAGCCCAACCTCAACTGATCAAAGCAGGATACACCTCCTTTAGTTTGTTGTAAATAGCTGCTGGCAATGCAGTTTAGCATTGATGCCACGACCATGTGGAATAAGCTCAAAATGCAGTACTCCTCGTAAATTCCACCAAACAGAGATCATGACCTTCTTGTCGAACTGATTGCATTGTGGAATGGATGCCAGTTGTTCACCTTGCAGAACCCATTTCCTCTCCCAGTCATGATTAACCAAGTACACACACTTCTCATCTGAGGTTGGTCGTCAAATGAGTAAAGATGTCCTGCCTAACCTAATTTTGCTGTTGTTCCATAACATTTGTTTTTCTTTCCACTCCCTAAGTGAGTCAGGATTTTAGAGTATTCTTATAATAACAATATAAAACTGATGCAGAAATTTACAGAATAGACTATAAAAAAAAAAATGTAACAAGAAATACATCGGTAAAACATTTAGAAATTTAAATGGAAAAAAATATTTGAACAGATTTTTTATGAAACAACACACTCACTGCATTAGCCATTCATTATAATAGGTTTAACAACAATTTTGACTTAAATAATGCAGTTTTAATTAAAGAAGAAAACAATTTATTTCTAAGCGTTCCATGGAAAATTTACATCTCAGATCATACTACATTTCACCTTTCCTAACAAAACTATACCTATGACAATGTGGGAAATTTAAAAACAAAAGTAAAAACAAATCCTGAAGAAATCTGAAAAATATTGGCTACTAGACCCATTGGATGCCAAAAATTATAAAGCTTAGTGAGTCTGTATTTTTGGCATTCTCTTGATGTTGACTTATAATCTTTATAAAAATTTGTTGTTTTTGCTTCCATCCCAATTTCCATGTATACGACTCCATTGCTTAAAAACATTTAGTTTGAATAAGTCCTTCATAAGCTGAGATATGTAACATAAAATTTATTCCATTTTGTCATCCAATTACCCACTGAGTTAGAATATCATGTTCTCCCAAGACTCCTTTTCTATTGATAAACAAAAATAGCAACTATGTCTCTTGGGATTCAAATATGGTTTCTTGAAAATTCTAAGGCAATCGTGGGCAAAACACAGCCCATGACTGCATGTGGCTTTCGGAATGGTACACTTAAGTTCATGAGGGAAATTGAAATGACATAAAATTTTATTTGTTTCATATTGATTGATGGATTCAATTTCTACAGCTTATCAACACTTGCAGGTTATTTAAAGCCAGAAATTATTTTTAGATTTTAAGAATTTTTTTATTAGATAATAATCGTTTTAGCGATAAAATTCTAATTAATCCATAGAAGAAGAGAGAAGAGGTGCATTGATACCTTTCCCAAGAGTATTTGCATATAAGTGAATATAACAAACCCAACTGAAATTGGAACTTGGCTCACCAATTAACAATTCTGAGCCATTATCCATTACACCACCTGCACTCCAAGCTTACAGCACCTGGTATTTCCAAGCAGTCACCCATCTAGGTAGTGACTAGTCTCAATGTTGCTTAACTTTGGTGATTCACTCGTTCATTCACACTTTCTCCTATGTGACCACATACAGGGTGCAATGGGTAAATTGTTACCATTTTATATTTTTAATTTCACACATGTACATTGTTTTTGATTTTATTGATGGCGCAGTATAGTAGGGTCAGTTGGGCACCGCCTGTGAGAAAAAGAGCACCATGATGCAATTCACTTCACCAAAAATTTGGAACCAGCATTTGCACTGGAAGCTCCAATATAAACATTTGAGTGTTTAGATGTCAATCTGAGGACAGTGCAGAGAATTCGGAAAGAGTTGGATGATATATTCAGTCAACATCATTGGATTGGGAGTGATCACTAGTGATGGTGCCTTTATGCCTCCATTCATCCTCCCACAGGACCTTAGACTCAATACAGGGGCCTACATCAAGTGCCTTGAGGAGGTAGTGCTGCCTTGGGTCAAGGGGGTGGCTCCTGGAAGAGCCTATGTCTGGCAACTGGACTCTGCACCATGCCACATAAGCAGAAGAGCCCAGTCATGGATGTCGGACAATTTTTGCAAACACATCACCCCTTATATCTGGCCAGTTAACTACCCAGACTGCAACCCCCTTGATTATTATGTGTGGGGCATGAGTGAGAGAACAACAAAACTCCTTGTAACACTGAAGTCAAGTATTATGGAAGTATTCACCAACTTAAATAAAGAGATTATTCAAAAGAGTTGCAGGAAATTCCAAAGTTGTCTGGTGACCATGGCTGAAGCCAATGTCGATTTTATTGAATAAATTTACTCTTTAGTATTTCAAGATATTTTTGCGTAATTTTGGTAAATATATCTCTTAAAATGTGATGCCAGTGTTATTTTCATTTTTATGTAATTTAGATGACAATTTATCCATCGCACTCTGTACATAAACAGTGATTAACTACAGTCTTGTATTTTGTACTCTTCTGTTGAATGTAACCTTTTTGCCATTTTAAACAATTGGCAATATTCACTAAAGATCATATGTGTAAACAAATTTCACTTTGAAAACAAAAAAAATTTCATAATTTACTCTGGAGAAGAAATATATTTTTCTTTTAGAAGATTATTTTTTGTATTTTCAAATGAATGAATAAAAAGCAAATCACATGCAGTGGTGTTAATTCCTCTGTCATCAGTGATATCATACTAAGACTTCCATTTTTTAATCATAGGAAAATATATAAAAAAAGATGTAATGAAAATGTTCAAGGTACCTTCAACAAAATATTACCATAAATTTTTTTAATAGTGCAACCAACCATATCTCATGCAACCTACTGCTTGAAAATGTTTTCTCCCTTCTAAAATATTTGAAAAAGTGACTTATTATTAAAGAGAAACGAAAAGGCCTTTGCTCATATTCCAGAACTAATTTCATCCAGTTGTAGTGATCTTTTACCTGCTTGCTTTCGGATTGGAGGTTAAAATCAGTTTAAGATTCACTTAATTTAAACTGTCTGTTTGCTTTACGAAGATGAAACCAAATAAATTGATATCAGCTTTTATATAAAAATAATATAATGAAACAAAAAATTTCTCATACATAACGATATACATAAACAATGAATTGTGTATTTAGGCAGCAATCCTTCTTTCATGCACATTACATTGAATACGACAGACAAGATGTTTTGATTTACTTTTTTATACAATTTCTCATGTGATCTAATAATTTTTTTTTCTTTCCGGATGATAAATTATATAAAAACTGCCAATTGTTCTTTTTATCTGATCATATTCGGCTATACATTTAGCCATTTTCAAGGATGAAATATTTTAACTGTTAACAAGAAATAGCTTGTTGTATGTATGTATGTATTTATATAATGTTTTCATTTTCAAAACACAGTTAATATATTGTGTCCATGTTCATAATTGATATTATTGAGTGTTAGTTTTTTTGTTTTTATTAATAAGGCTTCCCTTATTTCAGCCATTTTTATTTATTATTTTTTTGTATGTAGATGATGCTATGAAATTTGTGTTATCAACAAGTATGTTATGAATAGGGTCGAATAGGTCACCATGAGTATTTAAATGAGACCTAATGGTCAGAAAGGTGTAGTGTGAATCTTCATGTCAAACATGTTGTAGTATGGCCTATATAATTATTTACGACATTTAAATTTGTAAATAATATTTGTCCTATTTAATTTTGTTCTAAGAGGTGAATTGTTATTATCAGTGATAAAGTACAATATTTCTTGAATTTTGTAACCTTTTGTCAAAGATAACATTTTCACCATTTTAAACCATTGGCGATTTTCACTAAGGAAGATTGGATATATACACACACTTTTTTTAGAAACAAGAAATATTCAGAACATTTTTTTCTTTGAAGAAGAAATTTTTTTCTTTTAAAATATCTTTTGCATAGTCAAATGAATAAATTAGATACAAATCATATACAGCAGTGATAACATTATATCAAGACTTAAATCTTTTTAATTATAGAAAAAAATCTTTACTCTAAAATGAAGAAAAATTCAAATTTCATGGTCTTTCAATAATTAATAAAATAACTGAGGTACCTTCAACAAAAAATTACCTTGATTTTTTTTTAGTAGCGTGACCAGTCTTATGATCTATATCTCATGCAGCCCAAGGGTCAGAAAAGGTTGCCTAAGCCTGGTGTGTATAACTCGTACACATATCATTGTGAAAATGTCTGAGGTACTTTCAACAAAAAAACTATCTTGAATTTTTTTTTAAGGAGTGGGACCAACCTTATGATTTGTATCTCATGCAACCCACAAGTCAAAAAAAGTTGCCTATACCTGGTGTATACTCTCATACCCATTATATCCCAGATGTAAAATCTATAATATCTTGAGGGTAAAACTATCATACTATTCTGAAAAAAAATCAAGTTGCCATGGACTAAACATACTTATATATATTCTTTTCTTTACTTTCAGTGATGTATGGAATGAACGGATTTCCAGATGACTCCAACGAGTATGTTATGGTTCAAGTGACACCATTACCAAGTGGAGAAGTGACACCGCTGCAGAGTTACAATGGTACACCTTTGGCCAGTGCCAATGTAACGCCTTTACCAATCAAGAAATGGCCACGTTCCAATGATTCTGACACGGGCACTGATATTGTGCCCATCTGTCGAATTTGTCACCTTCCAGGAGACAAAGAAGATCCATTGTTTAAACCATGTCGATGCTCAGGGACACTAAGATTCATCCATTATGGTTGCTTAATGGTAGGTACCGATATTTTTTGTTATATATTAAAAACTAGTATATTCACATTCTTCACTGGTACCACTTGGTTTCATGCACAAAATTCCCTTGTGCATGAAACTTTCAGTAGCATTATGTGGTAAAACATACATGTTTTCATATATATATATATATATATATATATATATATATATATATATTAGCTCTGTTCTTTTATTCTACTTTTTTAATCTTTTGACCCCAAATAAAACCACAAAGATGCAAGGAATTACTGAGTATGAAAGTATATGATAGAGAAAAAACATTATTAAGGAGAGAGAACAATAAAAATAAAAATTATTATTAAATAAAAGAACACGAATTAAGGAGACAGAAGATGATAATTGACATTGCATTTAAGTTTTTGAAGATCAAAGTTGACTTGAAAGCAAGAAGGTGGAAGACAGTTCCACAAACAAAAAGTACAAGAGAAAAAAAACTTTAAGCACAGAACTTAAGGTTACATCCAGCCATTTCAATTGTAAAATGATGAGATCTTGCCACTAACCTAGTACTGTGCTTAAATTCATAAAGTCTAGGTAGCATAGAAGAAAGCTCATCAGAACAATTACCATGTAAACATTTATAGAAAAGGTGCAGGGAAGCTGTTATGGTAGTAGGAAAAGTGAGTGAAGCCAAGATGCCAGGCCTGGACCAATAACATTGCAGATTCTACTTTGTATCTTATCAAGAATCTCTAAATATATATCGGAAGCACCAAACCAGATGTGGCAGCAATCTGGCATGTTTATCTAAAAATAAATATGCCTAAATTCACTTTCATCCCTGTGTGGATGACAATATATGTACATGCTCCTGAAAAAAATTATTTTGGTTGAGCTCTTCGAGAAGAAAAGTGAATTTGTAAACAGTGACTATTACTGCTGCAAGACTCTTCGTTAAGACGAATCCAGTTCACCAGTCACTGGTGTGTTTATCTAAAAATAAATAGATCTAAATTCGCTTTCATCCCTGTGTGGATGACATATATATATATATGTCATCCATGGAGGCACGGTGGGGTAATGGTTATCGGCTTGGATTGTGGAATCGCAGAGCCAAGTTCAAATCCGGGTTGAATCCATTACATTCACTTACGTGCTAATACCCTTGGGAAAGGTGTGAATCCTCTTCTTCTCCCTCCAGCTATGGGTTAAATAGCAGGACAGACTGGGTTCTATAGCCTTGGATGGCAACTGGTCTAGGAGAAGGACAACTCTGAATTCAAAACCTGAGGGGGGTTGTTTGGGGACCTTGTGGCACATAGTGCACCAGGTCTCTGTATTGCCCTTCAAAAGTGTGGATGGTCCTGTATGAAACCTTCACCACTATAATCGAATCTCATGTGCCGGTAAAATGGGCTGTCAGTTTCCTGAAACTGATCTGTGTGACCCTCATACATTGAACCCGACGGCAGAATCGATTTTATATATATATATATATATATATATATATATATATATATATATTTATATAATAAAACAGTTATTGATCAGAATTAAATTAGACCAGGAATCAGTTGTATTAAAAAATGCTCAAGACACATTTAAAGAAAATAAAAACATAAAAATTTAACATGCATAGCTTTTAAATTAAAAAAATTAAATGCTACCATGGTTTCAACCTTTTAAGTATCCTCAGGCGATATAGGCCAAATGATTTCCTAACGTTTTATTATTTATATATGAACACACAACATGAAGTGTAATAGAAGGGGAGGAGTAAGGTAAGAATATTGAAATTGTATTTGAGGGAGAGTAAATAAAATATACATACTTTCATCTGGATTCGTATGAACTCTAAAAGTATTTTTTCATGTGTATACATCATGACATTTTTTGGGAAGAAATGAATAAAGTTCTGTAGATCATGATAATCTCCAATATTATGCCCAAAATGCATATTATGATCTACAGAATTTTATTCATTTCTTCCGAGCTTTCATTTCCATTTGGAATCATCAAGGGAAGGAACCAGTGGCAACAGTTTTCTTCAAAATTTGCCTGTGTGTGTTAGGTATCTTATCATTGGCTTTTTCATCTATTGATTTTCAGTATTCTGTGAGAGAGGTACAAGTTTTCAGTGCCCTCTATTTTGCTTCTCTTATATATATATATATATATAAGATTTGGTTTGTCCTGCCTAAAAACAACAAACTGTGTCAGTCAATGTAAAATACAGCCCAATATGAAAATCTCAAAATTATAGAATAAATAATTCTTCGCTAGGTGAACTGACTACTACCAACCACTAATCCCTTAGCCCTTTCTTTACTCATCTCTTCTCTCTTACCTTCCCTCCCTACTACCAATTTAATGTGTCTGGCTGGTGTAATTTCTCCATTTAAGGAGATTTTGATCTGAAGAGTTGAACACATCAAAATGGATAATTAAAGTTGTCGTCTTATTATCATTATAATGCTTTGCATTCTACATTGAGCTCTTCCTGGATTTATATCCTCCTCAGAATTATCCCTTCCAATCACAAACTGGTAAGAAGTGTATATATATATATATTAATCATTTCATCCCCAAGCAAAGGAATAATGCCACTAAGACACAAAGGGTTACAAGGAATGAAAGAGAATGAGAAAACATTAGTGAGGAGAAAGGTCAATAAAAGAATAGAATTCTGGAAAATAGAAGATGGTGAACAACATTGAATTTAAATTTTTGAAAATCAGGGAAGCAAGAAACCAGTTCCACGGGTGATAATTACAAAAAAAAAACATATTAGAATAGAACTTCTGGTTACATCTAGCTAATTCAACAGTAAAACAGCATGGGATAGTATGCTTAAATTCATATGGTTAAGATACCAAAGATGAAAACTCATTGGAACAACTGCCATGAAAATATTTATAGACAGGATAGAGGGAAGCCACGTCATGGTGATGAGCATAAAAATACAGTTTTAAGGTATGCTTTATTTATGGTTAAAAGTGCTCAATATCAAGGATAGAGCATCTGTAAACTTGGGCAGCATTATGTGCATATCACTCTGTAGAGATTCTATTCTAGTGGGAAAATCAGGCAAAGATACTCCTGAAGATTTGAGAGGAAAGTTGGAAGAGAATTTACAACCAAAACAATTTGTTTTATCAGTAAGTAGATGACAAAATTCAAACTGATTGAAGAGAGAAGGCATTGAGGATTTCCTCTTGTTCAGCACATTCTTGCAACATCACCAGTTTTTATTCCTCAGTCAATCAGTTATGTGCTATGCATGATACACACTTAGGCAATCATGTATCTTTTGATACATGACTGACGAGGCAAATCTTTTCCCCACAGTAGGTAGCCATTTCTTTCTGTAGTAGACCAGTTGCCATCCAAGGCTATAGAACCTGGTCTGTCTTGCTATTTACCCATAGCTGGGGGGAGAAGAAGGGTATTAGCACATAAGTGAATGTAATGGATTTGATGGGAATTCATACTTAACTCTTCATCCCGATTCCTCAATCCAAGCCACAATGCATTACTCCACCATTACATTAAGTGTTAATGAATTTTCAAACTTGGTATTAATTAATTTTCTTTCTTATTCGTAGTTTAGGGTTTTTGGCTGGCTTTTTGTTTCCCCACGATGAATACAAATGGAACATGAATGATAAAAATTACAAAAGAATGCATAAAATTCTTTTGAATTTTCAGGCTAATCTATTCTATCTATATATAACATTTTCTCAGATTAATGATTTAAAATGGTTTTGAGCAAATGAATCCTTCAGATGATCCTTCATCAGACCCTTTAGATTGGTACTACAAACTCACTAACAAAGAACTAAATAAAAACCACATCACTTGAAACACTTCCAACAGAAACAACAACAAAAATTGGTAGCATCTATAAAATGATATAATCAAGATATTGACTTTCCATGCTATCTTAAACAAAAGATGAGGAAGGAAAACCTCCATCAATATTAGAAAGAGCAATAACTGTTAGTAGACTTAAGAAATTTATTTTCCCAAAAAAATTGTTTTAAGAGGAAGACTTTATATATTTCAACCAACAATAACACTAACTATTCAGACAATGAATGCTGAATATTTCCTTATATGAAACAGCTAATTTCATTATTATTACCATATTGTGACTTTATATATTTATTTGTCCCACAATCATTTCTTAGCAATATTGTATTGCTATGCTAAAAGATATTTCTTGACACAAATAATCACCACAGTCTCATGAGTAAAAGGAGACGAGACTGTTGATATATTGCTTTTTGTCTTTGTTCTGTTTTTTTCTGTTCTTTCTTTTAATTATTTAAAATGCAGAATTCTTTCTTACATGTGACAATAGTTAATTGAACCAATAAAATCATCGATTACTGAAGCAGAAAAAATAATGCAATTACAAAATTAAATGTTCCCATCATTTTTAACAGATTTTTAACCATTTTTACTTTTAATGATTTAAATGGTGCATTTATTTCTCCATTGCAACAATAGAATTAATTACATTGATAAAAGGAAAATGAAAAGCCACTCTTCCAGATCTTTTCACATTAATACAGGGCTCTATCTTTGGACCCAATTTGTTCCAACAACTTTCCTGATTATTTACATTATTTACATTATTAGGACTGTTATCCTCATCTTCACAATGTTTTGGCCAATATACGCTCCAACCTTCTTCTTCATGTGATTGGAATTTCGAACTGAACTCTTTATTTCATCCACCTGGGTAGATTGTTCTAGTTCCACATGCCATGCCTTTTCCAGATGTCTCAGTTATTTCTCTTTAACTCAACTCTCCAAGTTTTTTTTGTTTTTTAGTTGAGGAAATAAAGGGTTTGGTTCAAAATTCCAATCACCTGAAGAAAGCCAGAGCATGCAATGGCTGAAATGTTGTGAATATGGCAATGAAGATTGGGATAACAGCCTGAATAATGTAAATAATCATAATACCTCATCTCAGAGATATAGACAAACCTTCCTGATGTCATCAGTTCTCAACTTGTTATCTATGCTCA